ACTACCCCATAGTTAGTCCTTTAGGCCAAATATGATCAAATAATTTTTTCCCACATATAGTTCCCAAAGGACTGAATATGGAATAGTTTTTAAAAGTTAAGGACCATGAGTGTAATATCTCAGAAATGGGGACTAAATATGGAATTTACTCAAAAGAACTATTTACACTTGTCTTTTTTGGACATCTCAAAAAAAAAAAAAAACAACTCACAGTTGCTTAATATGATCTCAGGATCTTCCCAATTATGCCCAGCACACTGTGCCCATATTTTCACTCCCCCAAGAATGGCTGTGGTGTGAGTCGTGGTGTGGCAACACAACCAAGTCTAGGGCAAAAACTATCGATCTCTGCAACAATCCCATGACAAAGGAGCCGAAGCTTCAGGTGACTAATAAATAAGCCGTTATTCCTCTCCTTTTGAACATATAACGTGCTCAAAACTGCCCGAATTTGAGAATTTCTCATATTAATTAATATTTTTTTTTGGTTTCAATCATATTTTAAACCATGTAGGGTGCCAAAAGGATAGTTGCAGAGTGGCCAGAACTTGACTTGGAAGCAAGAAGTTTCACGGCTAAAATCTTGGGCGAAGAGGTCTCTCAAGAACCGTCTCTTCAGCCCGCTAAAACATCCGATGACCCGATGGAAGATTCAGAATCAAAGGCAGAACTATGAAAAGACATGTTTTTGCAACCTTAAAAAAACAACACCAAACAATTAGAAGCCAATGACTGACTGCACACTTTTTTATTTTGTGTTTTTGTTACACAAATTCGGGAAAACCATTTTTTTGGTCGCGTAAACGAAATGTGGCGTTACGTAGCGTGCTAGTTTTAGAGGATATAGATCAGATGGAGTCCTACTGAATGCTGAGGCTTTTATAGCACACACTTTTTAGTCAATCTGTACAATTAATTTTGTTATCTTTGAATTTCTTTCCATCTGATTTCGTCATATACAATGTTAGATTTTACTAACTTTGTCTGATCCCTTCAAATTTGCTACCAATAATCTGAAATCTGAGTGTACTTAATGAAAAAGGCGCGTGATTTTTATCAATTTTTCCCTGTAAACATCTATGTGTTCACTATTCGTATTATTTTTTCTTATTTTCATATTTAGGCCTCATTTTTACATTCTTGAATATTGACGGATTAAAGTCCAATTTATATGTCAACGCAGTCCGGTCGGTTCAGAGGGGTCCTTAGAGATGGGATTATTATTAAAATGTTATTTTTGTAGTTAAATGTGAAGTATTTCTTTTGCATTACTTTTTCATTAATTCAATTTGAATTAATGATTTAAAAAATAGAAATTCAAAAACTATACATTAAATAACAATACAACTACCGATTTACCAAATAAACTAAAATAACATCACGATTCATTAATTAACTCAAGGTAGATTTCATGTCTATGAATTAGTAGTAATTTATTTTATTTAAAAAAAATTGTGACTTTTATTTCATTTAACATGAATTAATTTTTATATATTAATTTATTGTATATTTTTATATATTCTTAGGCAAATTTGTGATATACCAAGCGAAACACTGTTAAAAGAATTGGAGGAAATATATGTGTATGTTACGAAACAAAACAGAGCATCCACCGACATACCAAGTAACTCGACCAATATACAAATATAGTTCTACTAGGTTTATTATATAAAATGTTTTTAAAATATTATTTTATCTAATTAATATACAATATATATTTTATTTAATTACAGGTCAAAGATTGAAAACGATAAACTGAAAAAAGTTAAAATTAGACAAAAACTCTGGGACAGAGGTTATAATTTATACCAACGCATAGAAATTTAGTATGTTGGAAAACTCTACTTTATAGTTTAGCATGTAAGGAAACTCTTTATAAGTTTTCATTGATCATTTACCAAAATAAAATAACCTTATCTTTACTTATTTTGTAGCAAATTAGATATAGATTTTAATATATATTGTAATTTTAATTTTCAATTCTACACCAACATTTATTTATATTGATTTCTTTACTTATTTTGTAGCAAATTAGATATAGATTTTAATATATATTGTAATTTTAATTTTCAATTCTACACCAACATTTATTTATATTGATTTGAAAATAACTTAAGTCCAATATCCTAAACTGAACATGAACCTTATTTTGAGATGGAGGGAGTTTATATGTGTGTATATTAAGAATGAACAAAAGAAGAGAAATAACCAGTAACAAAAAAAGAAAATAAACGACCACAGTGGGAGTCGAACCCACGACCTTCTGATCCGAAGTCAGACGCGCTAATCCACTGCGCTATGCGGTCGGGTTTGTACTGTTTTTCAATTACAATTACCAACTCACTAACAATTAACAATATGAATACATGATGCAAAGTTGGTCACAATCCTTCATCCCTTGTTAAATGGCACGTTGTGAAAAAAATTGTAGTAAAATATGGAAAATTGATTAGCATAGGACTCATTTTTCCTCTTAAAATAAGAAACACAATTATTAATTAAAAAAGAAAAAGAAAAAAACTGCTGATCAACTTCAACCGGCGAAACACCAAAAATTACAAAATTTTTCCATCCAAAAAAAAAGAAAATAAATGTTTAAATAGAATCTTAAGGAAACTGTTTGTAAACACTCGCACTATAGTTATATTAAGTTATGATATTCTGGTTTTTACAAAGAGAAAAAGCTTATTGTGCTTCACAACTTCATTCAGTATTATATTTGTCTATTTTTGAAAATCTTTTTTTCTACTTATTTGACGCTTGTTTGATATAAAATTTATCCTCTTTTCTTAATCATAACTTTAAATTAGCTTGAAAAAAACTTGGCACTGCCCTTTACTAACTTGGCATACTACCTCCGTCCCTAAGTATTTGTCTTGTTTTGACTTTTTTCGTTCAATTGTTTTTAATCTTTGGCTTAGAATTAAATAAAATATATATTGTATATTAATTCGATAAAATAATATTTTAAAATAATACTATTTTTATTTTAAATTGATGTCAAAATTTATCAAATTTTGACTGAAAAAAATTAAAAGTGGACAAATACTGAGAAACAGAGAGAGTATTTTGGATCCCCTATTTCCAAAGCTAAATTGGAATGGAGACAAATGTAGTTAAAAGATGAGACGGTACAAGAGTGTGGTGGGCATGTATTTTCTGACTCTTTTCATCCATGGGTGGAGATGGACTGGGCGGGTCCCGATTTGCATTATTTTGTTGAGGCTAAATATGCATGTGGGTTGCCCAAGTTTGGTTGGGTTGGTTCACATTGGGAAGCCCGCCCACGCACGACCATACCCATATATACATACATAATGCCAAATTTACAATTCTCACCCTACACTCCACATGGGGCAATAACGGACGCTAGGCACCTCGTGGGCTTCATCCACTCTTCATAAGACAAAAATTTGTACTAAATTTATTTTCCGAATGTAATATCTAAAAAATTTATTCTCTAAATAGTATTTTAATAGTATCAGTGACGATGAGTATTTACTTGAACAATCTCGATCTAGTAGACATCAAATAGTGATATTATATTGGGAAATTAAAATATATTGTACTACATTGAAAAATTCATTATGTTTTAGTTTATATAAGTAAATCCCCTTTCATAAAATGGGCATTTCATCACAATCATTCAGCTAAACACTGCACACATATGTAAAATACATAAAATAAAATTAGAAACACAATAAATTCAACTTAATTAGGACATAAGTGAACATAATTGAAATATAAAATGAAACGCTCAATGGGAAGAAAAAGAGCCGTTTTACTCCTTTAGGTGTTTATGTGTTTTGTTCCTAAATAAAATAAAATACATAGTATAAAATTGCATTAAAAATGTTTTTTGTTCCTAAAAAATATAATATAAAATTGCATAAAATAAAAATTAAAAAAATAGAAGCTTAAAATATAAAATTATGTAAGTAAACGTCAATGAGGATTGCGTTTTTTACTATTTTTTTTCAAGAAATAATTATTGTTGATTACCTGTGTCTGATTTTTATTAGATAAATGAAGTTGTGAGTTTTAAGAGTGAGTCTCAGAATTCAAAGACTCACTTTCTAAGTTTTCTCACTTTCCGTCCACCCCAATGGTAAAGTTTGGAAAAAAAGAGTTTCAGACTATCCTTTAGACTTTGTTCAAACTACCATTGGAGACATCATGTAAATTTAGATTTCTTCAGCTAGCTTACACTCCCTCCACCCAACACTAATGTTCCTATTGCGCGTTACGACGTTTGACTAAACCTATTTTCAAATCATTTTATATGAAAAATCGTATAGAATCTAAAAATAAAAATTATATATTTAACAACTACTACCTCCGTCCTAGAGTATTTGTCCACTTTCATTTTTACACACCATCCAATACAATTCTTTGATCCATTTTATCTTGTAATTTGTATATTAAAAAATTATATTCCTCCGTCCCACAAAAAAGTTCCCATTTTGAATAGTATTTAGTCAAATATTTACACGCTTAGACTACAAATCAAACAAGATTACACAGGACTATATTTAGGCTTACACATTGAGAGAATTTGATAAGTCAAAGTGCTTAGATGAACAGCTCCAAAAGTCAAAATTGGACGAATAATGAAAAGATCTACTCCCTCCGTCCCAAAAAGTCTTTCTTGTTTACTATTACGACCTCTAGATAACTCTTATTTGTTTGCGTGTTTTCATTAATCATTTGATAAAATAACATATTCTTGTCACCTCTTATTTTGTAGAGTTTTCGATGTAGTTTTCAAATATAATTTTTTTATGTGTTATTTTCTTACCAATTTACAAATAAAATCATTTTAAAATCCATGGAGTTTTGTACGTTAATCAAAGTAGAAAATTCTTTTTGGGACGGAGGGAGTACAAAACTAGGGGTGACATGACTATATTATTTTATCAAATGAGCAACGAAAATACGCCAACAAAGTGAATAAAATTTGACCATGTGAATTGTGAACGAAAATATTATTATTGGACGGAGAAAGTATATATATATAAAGAAGGTGGGGAAGAAGAATATAATGAAAGGGTGGGAGAGGGGATGATTATGTGAGAATGAGAGTGGGGAGGTCATTGGAGGAAACGCCGACGTGGTCAGTGGCATCCGTCACCACTGCCTTGGTTTTCCTTTGCTTCTTCGTCGAACGCTCCATTTTCCGCTTCGGAACGGTACGTACGTAACACTTATACATACATATGCGTGCTTCAATTACAAAGGTTAGAGCATTGGCAGCGGCGAGTGGGAAAAATGCCTCGCCCTGCCTTGAGAGGAAAGTTGCGATGCGCAACGGCGAGGAAGGAGAAACGCCGCGCGAGCCAAGGGACGAGTCACTCCCTTTGCGAGGCAAAATCGCAGGCAATTGTCGTCTCCTTTGCGAGGCATCTGCGACCGTCTCTGTCTGCTCTCCACCCACGCCTATGCCTTGCCGTTGTAAGCCATGGAACTCCACGGTGAATTTTGATTGGTTCCTAGATGCCACATCATCCCGTGGCATTCCATTTTAGACTTAATTGCCACTGCTTATGCTCTTAGGGTGGTCGTGAAGGGACGGGGCTCGGGGTGGGGATTTATGAAGGGGGTTCGAAAAATTAAATAAGACCCGTCAATTTTACAAACACAACATCGTAGGTGACTGAATTGAAATGGTGTCAGGGAGTTACACAATTTGAGATGGTGTAACTCTACATTTCCTTTCGCACACTGACACACACACATGTGTGTGTAACACCGTACCATTTCTAGCTTGAATAATTTGAATTCTCACACAAATTTTATTTGTAAAGCTCAATAGATGGAAGTTTCGTTAGACTATATTGAAGTTCCCACATCAGAAAAACTAATAAAATATCACTAGCATATATAGAAGTGAAATTTGCACTAAATAGGACTAAAATATAATTATTTTCTTAATGTAAGACTCAAATTTTTTTATTCCCTAAATATGACTTAATAATGACCTAGTGGAAGGAATAATGTCTAGTAGTGATGGACAATTAATTGAATAATGACTACTCCCTCCGTCCCCCTGTATTTGTCCACATTTGACTTTTGGAACTATTCATCTTAGCACTTTGACTCATCAAATTCTCTCAATGTGTAAGTCTAAATATAGTCATGTGTGATCTTGTTTGATTTGTTTTAACATATAGATTATTAATATATAATTTTTATAATTTTTTAATATACAAATTACAAGATAAAATGGATTAAAGAAGTGCATTGGATGGTGTGTAAAAATGAAAGTGGACAAATACAGGGGGACGAAGGGAGTACTTGATAATGACCAAAGGTCCTATATTGGGAAAGTTATTATGTTTTAGTCCTATTTAGATAAATTTCTCCCGTCCCTCTAAGATCTTCTCGTTTTAACTTTTTGTGGTTTTTAAGGAGAGTTGAAAAAAGGTGAAAGTTTACCAAATTAAAATACTCTTAATGAAAATGGGTGGGGTGTATTAAATAAGGTGAGAAAGGTGTAATAAATAAAGTAAGTGGGGGTAGTTGTGGTATTTTAAATGTTAAAAAAAGTAATGAGAAGATATATATGGGACAAATAAAAAAGATTAATGAGAAGATCTATGGGGGATGGAGGGAGTATATTTTTATAATGTTCATTGTGTTTATATCATGCATGTATATATGGTGGTGGCCGGTGGGTGTGTAATTAATATTTGCATGCAGTGGTTGGAGAAGACTAGGAGGAAGGCACTCTATGCTTCTTTGGAAAAGATTAAGGAAGGCCAGTCACTAAACTGTCTACCATACTATATATGGAGAGCTTATGTAATTTATGATTCATGATACTTTGTAAAATTTATCATAACTTTTTTATTTAAAAAAAAAATGTTCAATGATAAAACGAATTGAAAGTGGTTTCAAATAAATTTTTAATTACATCTTAATTATAAGTACAATTTTGTTACTCGTTACATTTTTTGTGAGATCAAACAGTAAAACTTTATGTTCGAAAAGGGGACGTACTTCTTAGTGAAAAAGGACCAAACAAGTACAACTCTTTACTAATTAATGAGCTACATGATTTATTTATTTATTAATTTTTAATGACTTGATTATGAGTATGATTTGTTGTGAATTGTATGTGTGGGACAGAGTTGATGTTGCTAGGGCTAATATCATTGCTATTGGGGCAATGGGCAAGATGGATTACCCAAATTTGTGTCACCTCCTCCCTCTACAACCCTAAATTTTACATTTGCTCACAAGAGGATTATTATGCCTCCTCCCAAACAACAATAATTCACACCCAAAATAACCCATCATCATCCATACTACCATCAAACCACACACACATTCATCATCCCAACACATTTGGGCATCCATCACATCATGGTCATCGTCGTCATCATCACCAGTGCGGAGAGGTATCAATGATCGAATTCGATTTTTATTTGTACAGTTCAACCAATTAAGCGATCACAAATTTTGACTTTGGAGTCAAAATTTGACTTCAAAGTTAACATCAACTTGTGGGGTGCAATTGAAGGGGGTGGGGTGTATTCGGGTCGGGGAGGGGTGGGGGGTTAGGGAGTAGGAACCATCAATTTTACTGGGCACCGGAGCGCCCACGGGTCATCCCATGACGTTGCCGGGCAGTGTCATGAGAACCTTGGTGTACTTTCAAACATCAACTTAAGTTTTCGGTTGAATTGATTTTTTTTGTCAGGGTCGAGAACCTTTTGTCTCTGCAGAGGGTCTGGAACAACTTCATCGTTTCTTGTTTGTTCTGGCCATCACTCATGTCCTCTACACTTTCATTGCTGTGGGCTTGTCTATGAGCAAGGTTTGTAATGGGTGTAATTATTAAATTCAAGATTATATTTTTCTTTTTTTGTCCCTTAGATTTGTTGTTGAAGTATCATGTATATGTATGTAAAAAAAATGTAGATTTACAGTTGGAAGAATTGGGAAAATCAAGTCAAAAATAATGGAACTCAGAATAACATACAAGGTATATTTTTTAAGTCAAGAAATATGTTTCAAAAATGATAATTTGACTATTTTGACTTACAAGGCATGTTTTTTTGTGATTTGATTTTTTTAATTTCCCCAAAATGCCCCTCAAAAGGCTGTGGTGATGATAGAATTTAGGATTGGATAGAGACAACTGGATTGAGTAATAAGACACTTGGGTTGAACCACATTAAAAGATTGAATCCAATCGATTAGTTAGTTCAACTCTAGAGCTTATATACCGATTATTTTACTCTTGGATTTCCGATGTGGGATGTACTCTAACACTCCCCCTCAAGTGGACAACCGGGCCATTTTGAATCTAAATCCGGTTGACCACTTGCAAATGAACTCCCATTCGCTTGACTTTTCTTTTTATGAGCGCCAACACCTAAAGGACCACGAGCCGCTGGGTATGGACTTCCAAACGAGCAATCGTGTTAAACAGGCCACAGGTCGTTGGGTACAACCTCCATACGGACAACTGGGCTAAAGACTAACGGGCCGCTAGGAATGAACGTCTAGACGGACACCTTGACAGACGAGGTGGGCTAAAACTGGCTTTGATACCATGATAGAATTTAGGATTGGATAGAGAAAACTGGATTGAGTAATAAGACACTTGGGTTGAACCACATTAAAAGATTGAATCCAATCTTTTATGAGCGCCAACACCTAAAGGACCACGAGCCGCTGGGTATGGACTTCCAAACGAGCAATCGTGTTAAACAGGCCACAGGTCGTTGGGTACAACCTCCATACGGACAACTGGGCTAAAGACTAACGAGCCGCTAGGAATGAACGTCTAGACGGACACCTTGACAGACGAGGTGGGCTAAAACTGGCTTTGATACCATGATAGAATTTAGGATTGGATAGAGAAAACTGGATTGAGTAATAAGACACTTGGGTTGAACCACATTAAAAGATTGAATCCAATCGATTAGTTAGTTTAACTCTAGAGCTTATATACCGATTATTTTATTCTTGGATTTCCGATGTGGGATGTACTCTAACAGGTGAAAACAATTTTGATTAAGTGGAATTAATTGATGCAGAAAAGAGGAAGAAGGGGATGATGAGGCGACAATCCACTTTTGCCCTTCATCACACATCACATCCATGGAGTAGAAATCCCATTTTAATCTGGATTGTATGTCATTAATTCCTCACTTTTACCTTGATTAATACTTAGTCTAATTAATTTATGAGTTCAAAGTTTTTTTTTAGAGTATTACAAGTTTTATATTCCATCAAAATACTCATTCATCCTATTTAGAGTAAATACTCAATCTATCTGGTCCTAAAAACTCTTCATATTTTGACTTTTTTGGTCAAATAATGATACTTTTGACCACAAATTCTTATAAAAGTATATTTAATCATAATATAAATTCAATATAATTAAGTTCATCTCAGGATATTGTTTTGATATATAAAATTTTAATAATATTTATATATTTATATTATATTATAAAAGAGTATCATTGTTTGACTAAAAAAATCAAAACAGGAAGAGTTTTTAGGACGGAAGAGAGTAATATAAACCTTAATTTATTTGCAGCTATGCTTCTTAAGGCAATTCAGGAGTTCCATTCAGATGTCTGATTACTTAGCACTGCGTTTGGGTTTTATCAATGCATGTCTACTCTCCCAATTCTTAATACTATTTCTTTGTTCGTCTCGAAATAAAATTTCTCGTTTATTATTTACAAAGCTACATTTTATCAAAGTTATATGTACAAATTGAACATGTGGTGTGCAGAATCACCAGCTTCCGCTCTCATATAATTTCCACAAATACATAATTCGTAGCATGGAAGATGAATTTTATGAAATTGTCGGGATCAGGTATTACTCGATCACTCCATTCATTTTAACTGATCATTATGACTCGAATATACATTAAAAGTTTAATGGATGCAGACATATTTCATGTATAGATTCATTCAATTTTCAATATATTATAAAAATCATAATGGTCACTTAAACAGAGATTATATGTGAAGGCTATTATATTAGAGTTCCATTTTAAAAGTCTAAGTATTGAGAAATTGAGTCAACTAACTTTATTTACATGTTGGTTTGTATTTATATTGCTGGTGGATGTACTTTTGCAGTTGGCCACTATGGGGTTATGCTATCATTTGCATCTTTGTAAATATTCATGGTAATTAATTAAGCACAATATTGTTTTATTTAATTTTAAAAAATGAAGTCCATACTATTTTTTATGTAGTGCACTTCAACATTTTTATTTCATTTTGATGCAGGTCTTAATATCTACTTCTGGCTTTCTTTCATACCTGTTATTGTAAGTCATCTTATTCCATACCTTTAATTTGTGCTATATATATATATATATATATATACACATACACACACTCTCTCTCTCTCTCTTCCTCTCATTAGTTGTTTTACATTTTTTGTTTTTGGAACATCGGAAAAGAATTTCTTTATTAGTAATGAAAAATGTGGCTCACAATATTTTCTCTCATCTAACGAACAAATTCTAATCACAAATTTTTTGCTTCATTAAAAGTTATGTGAAAGTAAAATCGTATACCGTTGTGTTCATTATTGTTGTGTTGAATTGAAAGTTGGTAATGGTGGTCGGGACAAAACTCCAACATGTCATGTCCGTGTTAGCACTTGAAGTTGGGGAACCAAAGGTTCCCGTCAATGGCGGAACTCAGATGAAACCGCGCGATGACTTGTTTTGGTTTGGGAAGCCCGAAATTTTGTTGCGCTTGATCCAATTCGTATCGTTCCAAGTAAGTAGAATTTAGACACTTCAACAATATTGTTCGATCAGTCAATCACAAGTTTGAATTTTTTGCTTGAGTTATTAGTTCTTAAACACTTGTGCATGTATATATATATATATATATACATACATACATACATACATACATACATACATACATACATACATACATATATATACATACATATATATATATATATATATATATATATATATGGGATTGACTCCAGTCAGATGACATCTTTCAATCAGATGACACTTTCGGTCAGATGACATGCATCAAAATGAGTACCGCCTTGTTTGCGAATGAGCACCAACTTAATTCAGAATGAACACCACACTGAGCAGACTGTGAATGAGTACTAGGTTTTTTCAAAATGAGTACTATGTTTATAACAAACAAATGTGTGAAAATCAACCATACGATGTCTTAGAATGAACACTACATGGATTCTAAATGAACCCTATGTTGTCGTCTCGCTTGCTTGGAATGAACACTCCACTGTGATGAACAGTTGTGTGTGAATGAATCCTACGTTGTTTAAGAATGAGCGCTACATTGATTCAGAATGAGCAATACATTGTCATCTGACCGAAAGTGTCATCTCACCGAAACATGTCATCTGACTGGAGTCAATCCCTATATATATATATATATATATATATATATATATATATATATATATATATATATATATATATATATATATATATATATATATATATATATATATCCTACTTTTTTTCTTGAGCTAGAATTTTTCAGCAAAATTTTACAGAGTTGTTGGTGTTGTCTTTTATGCAGAATGCTTTTGAGATGGCTACATTTATCTGGTCTTTGGTTAGAGTTTCTTGTCTCTAAACTATATGTTTGTACATTCCAAATTAATCAAAATCAAAGGTTGCAATAAGTTTATTAATTACCTCCACTGCAGTAAAATAATAAGCTAATTAAATGTTAAAACTTGCACAAAATTTTGCAGTGGGGATTTGATGAGCATCAATCTTGCTTCATGGAAAATCACTCTATCATATCAGTCCGATTGACCTCGGGGTATGTATATAAAATCATCTCAATCACCTTATTGTAAAAATGAACAAAAATATTGTAAAATGTCGTAGTATATGTTACATTGCGACAATTTTCGTCACGTGTCTAATTAATGACAAAATAATACAGGGTTCTTGTCCAACTATGGTGTAGCTATAGCACAGTTCCAATGAATGTTATCATCTCACAGGTCCTCTCCAAATATATTGTGGCAAATTCTAAAGTTATAACAATTTTTTGTTACACCGGTTGTAAGTTTGAATACAATGTATATATATGTACAAATCAGATGGGGTCTCGGTGCAGAAAGGCAATAATAGCAGAAAGTGTGCGAGAATCGCTTCACACGTGGTGCAAAAGAGTTAGAGAAAGATTAAAATATGGTACACCTTCACAACAATGTACAACTAGTAGACCTACATCATCACTCCAATCGTCAACAATAATGGATTATGAAAGAGATGACGATGCAGATGATGAGATAAAGACACACCAAGTTTGACAACATTAGTATCTCACGAACAATGACGGTTGCAGTCACAGTCATTGAGCGTTACAATCACAGACAATAACTATTTGTGCGAGATTGTCATTAATGATATTGTCTTTGATGATATTGGTGAGGTTGTTAAAGTAAGAAGATGAAATTAATTAACAATATGGTTTTCCCAACAAAAACCTTGATATGAATGTGCTTTTTGCATTTCTTACGATCAATTCATAGTAAAGTATCCAACAATTCTCTCCTTAATTGGGAGATTTTGATGCCTCATTTTCCATAATATAAACTTGTGTTTTGGGTAGTTCTGCCAAATCACAACTCACTATCTGTGTTTAAAATGCATAGTCTAATTTTGAAAGAAAAAATTGTACTTACCAAGTGTTTAGAACTTTAAAAGATGTTAATACCTCTACACATTTGACTTCAATCCTATATACAAGGGTAGTTGCCGCTAGACTTTGCGCAGTTGTCAAAGACAAAGAGTGCTAAGGATAAAACTTGAGTTCGATTTCTGGCAATTACCGGATGCAGCAAGCTGCACTCTTTACCATCAGTCTTCAATCAAAGTCCAATTTATTTTCTTTTATTGACCATCTGGCCTGGCCTGAGGGAGCCCTTGGGAATACGGCTCATCTTTTTTATATATATAAGGGTGGTTGTAATGGGGATGGTTTACGGTTTAAATCGAACATGAACCTAACTTTAACCATTAATTAGAGACTGGTGAGCTTACAATTTCTAAACTTCTTCTAGTATTTTCTAGCTCCTTTCAGTTTCTTTCGAAATCCAACTTTAAAATTTAAATCTAAAAGAATATGATTTTATTGTTAGAGAACTAAATTTTAAAAGAATGGTGGGTATAAACTTTTGATGTGGCATTATTAGAACTATTTTTTTGGGCTTATTGTTACAAGCATCTAAGTAATTTTTACTCTTAGGAGATGTCACATCACCCAATTGAAGAATTTAATATGATTACTTCTTCCCTTGGCCGCATATTTCAACTGTCTCACCAAATTTAAGAATTCAATTTGATTTTCTTCTTCTTCTTAGTCATGAAGATATGAAATGGAGTGTCAATACTCAATACTTCAATTGCACAAGGAAAAAATGTGCTTTTACTTTTAAAACTGTGTGCTTTTACATTATTATCTAATTTCCTAATTCATTTAACTAATGACATTGTTGTTTTCAGAATTTTTATATCATTCAATTAATGACATTGTTAACGATTATGTTGGTTCAATCCGAGAGGCTGAGAATGTCGATATATGCTCCGTTTGGCATTAGCGTTAGAGATTAACGTTAGTGATTGAAAAAGCTATCTGACGGTAATTAGCATTAACATTTTCAAAATTAATCTACACCGTTAAAATTTTATCCAAAACGCTAACGCTAATAGAAAATGATTTTCCCAAACAAGGCACTAAACATATATCAATTCTAGAACATCGTTGTAAACATAGAAAAAAATTGAGAACAATAATACTCCCTCCCTTCCAAATTATTTGTCCTTTACTCCTTTTTCAAATGTGTAAAATGTGTCATCTATCCCTTTTGAAATGATTATATTTATAAATTGGTATATAAAAAAAATATACTACGTAATTTATATATTTCAGAGATGCTCAAAAGTTCTACAAAACTAGTAACATGTGTCTATTTTATTTTATCAAATAACCAATGAAAATGCATACAAAATAAAAGTTATTGACAATCTCAAACAATTACTAGGCTAAATAATTTGAGACGGAGGACGTACTCCGGAGGTATTATTGATTGAATATTGAAATAATTATATAAAGTCACATAGTTTTAAGAAAATTTTTTCCATAACATAAAATGGAATGAATGGGAAGAAACCTATATAAAGTTACTTAAACACCCTCAAAAGATTCCTATCCACAATCCAAATAGGGAGAATCGGTGAAGAAACAAAAGAGAGGTATCAATTCTCTCTTCCCACTTTTTTTAGTTAGTCCTTTCCTTCCTCTAGAAACTCTATTCCTAAGTCAAATTTCTTTTCTTAATTTTTACTTTAATTCTTTATTAAAATATTATAACCCCCCATATTTTGTTTCGGCAAATTCTATGGTAGATCTAAAGTCTATCACGTACCTACATATGAACAAAATAAGTATTTTTTTATTATTTAAATAAGCATCTGTTTTTTAAATAAAAAAAATTTCAAAAACATATTTTTATGTGAGAATATCCACAAAAATGATATGCACCCAAAATGCATCATAGAAGCACTCTTTAAAGAGTGTTTAGTTAGCGTTTGGATGTATAAATTTAATTGAAAATAAATAAATTGTAGACTTATAATTATGGGACAGAAATTAAAGAGCATTTATAAACGGACATCTTCGGCACTTCGGATTATTAACACCTAAGGCAGTGTTCCGTTCAACTTATTTTTTCTGCTTATTACTATTTTTTGTTATAATCAGATCAGATCAAACCAGATTCGATCAGAAACAACTTTAATTATATAATTGCAATTAGATTAGATTAGGTTAAACTAGTCTCGAGCTCATAAGATGACAACAAGTATTTATGGAAGTTTCAAAAAGAAAAATGCCGAATATACAACTATATATACTCCGTAATATTACGGGATGGAGAGTATATTTATTATTCCATTACCCGTATATTATACTCGGGTACATATTACCAAATGAAAATGTACAAAATGAGTATTAACAAATGAAACAGTTGACTTTTTATTCACTAGTATTGATTAATCAACCAACATATTGAATTGGTTAATACTCCCTCCGTCCCACTCTTTTTGTCCACTTTCATTTTTTGCACACCATCCAATGCACTTCTTTAATCCATTTTATCTTGTAATTTATAAATTAAAAAATTATAAAAATTATATATTAATAATCTATATGTTAAGACAAATCAAACAAGATCATACATGACTATTTTTAGACTTACACATTGAGAGAATTTGACGAGTCAAAGTGCTTAGATGAACAGTTTCAAAAATCAAAACTGGACGAAAAGAGTAGGACGGAGGTAGTATAATTCAATCAAATTTAATTAAGTTAGCTGACAGGTGATGGATGGATACAACGTAGTTGAGTTGAATAGTAGTTGGGGTATATATACGTATACATCTTCCATGTACCATATTTTATGATAGGGATAAATCCCACTCATCTGGACAATTATTGAAGAAGGTAAATTAGATTTTTATTGCGGATTAGTGGCAAAGAATGGAGCATGCAGGCGATATGTGACAATATATCAAATTAAATTCAATTTAGGTTATAGTTGTGATATATTATGTTTAATTTGTGGTTAAAAAGTACTATCAATGTTTGAACAAAAATATCAATAGAAAAGGCTTTTAGGAGCGGAGGGAGTACATTTATTTAATTTCATTTTAGGAAATCACTCTAAATACTACTATGTAGTACTACGTAAAATATAGAGAAAGTATTAAAATAGAAGTTCTATATTTTTATTGTTAAAATAGAATTTTGAACTGTGGTAATATGACATTGTATATGAACACTTTACAATACATTTTGGTAATGTATATGATCATGATTGGCGATATAAATGTATTTTAACTTCTATATAAGAAATAAAAAATATGAAATTCATATTTTAATATGTTTTTTAATATTTTACTTTTATTTTAATCTTTTTCTCTTTCATTTTCTAACTTACCTAAAATAGTACGAATTTCATGCCACTGAAAAAAAATGGTATCAAAAGCAAAAAAGTTTTAATAAAAGTTGTATATACTTCGTAGTCCGTATTCATACCGTATACGGGATACTCTAGTAGGAAAGCTTCTAGTCTTCTTCTTCGTCTTCTTCTTCTCAAAAAGCTTATTCTCATGCTAAATTCAACCTTGGGTCTATACAAATCTACTCCATATTGTCCTTCTTTTCCTCATACTCAATCTTTACCACACCGTCAGTTCATTATCTCTCTCACTCACTCTTCTCATCTACCTGTATAGCCCTCTGTAAAAAAAAGAATCTGGGAATCTTTCTTCCAGTCACCGTCCCTACCTCTCCTTATCCCCAAAGGAAGCTGATCTACAGAATTCTTCTCTTTCCCTTTTGAATTCTTTGTAAATGCAGCTTCAAAACCCCAGAAATTTCACTCCTCCCCATTCCCTATTTGCCCACATTTAGCTCTGACTCTTGAATCTTCTGGTTCAGCTCGGTATTGTTAGAGTTCTGCTCGCTCATTGTAATTTCTTGTTTTGAATTTAAAATTTGAGCTTCTGGGTATCTGTCCCCATCCCCAAAGATTGAAACTTTAGCATTGTAATTTTGAAATCTTGAGTTTTTTTATTTTAGGGGTTTGAGGTTTGGGCTGGTTAGGTTAAGAAGGGATTAAATTGAAGCTTGTTGTAATTAGAAGGGGAGAAATGGAGAGATATGAGCTTGTTAAGGATATAGGGTCTGGCAATTTCGGCGTGGCCAGGCTCATGAGGAACAAGGAGACGAAGGAGCTTGTGGCCATGAAGTATATTGAAAGGGGACATAAGGTTTGCATACTACTTCTGTGGTTATGTATGATCAATAATGTTCTGTCTTTTGCTGTTAATCACCATTAACTTGAACAAGTTTAGATTAGTGTGAAGTTTTATCAATGTTTTTCGTAGATGTTAGAGTATAAAACCTTTCATGGGCCAACAACCTAAAGTTTGAGCTTGTGGTTGAGTTGATTCGTTGAAAATAGAACTCGTAACTGGGTTGTGGTTGGTCAACTGAGTGATGCTCTGAAGCAAGTTAAAAGAAGCAATCTCATCCATCAGCTAGTTTAAATCAAGACCTAAAAAACGCATGCGTATTTCTTCAATGTTTCAATGTGGAAATTATCGATAGTCATTGTCCATTAATTGATGTATGGGTTGGTTGTAGATTGATGAGAATGTGGCGCGCGAGATCATAAACCACAGATCTCTTCGACACCCTAACATCATCCGATTCAAGGAGGTGATCTTTTGCACTTGATATAACATACCGTTTGGTGTCTATGGAAGCTAGCTAGAAAGGAAGTGTTATGGACATAGCTATCCCAATGTTTCACTTTTGTTCTTGTTGTATATAGGTGGTTCTCACTCCCACTCACCTTGCCATTGTCATGGAATATGCAGCAGGTGGAGAGCTCTTTGAACGCATCTGCAGCGCTGGAAGATTCAGTGAGGATGAGGTATTTATTCTTGCTCTTCTTAGGATACATGTTGGGAATATACTATTCTTCCAAAATTAAGCTGCTAAGGGCCTGTTTGGAAGTCACAAAATGCCGTGGAAAGAAAATAGAGAGGAAAACATAGGGGATATACATATTTGGAAAGACATAAACATGTGTAGATTATTTATTCCTATCAACAACTACAACAAACCAAGTAAATCCCACAAAAAGTAGGGTCTATCATGTTATTTTCAAGAAACCCCCAATTCAGATACAAAAGCATATGTAAATTATGTTTATCTCGTTAAATTAAAAAAGAAATTTAAACATATGTGATTTATTTAAAAATATAAAATTATAAACCATGTTTCATTTACCTTTGTACTTACCACGGTAAAANCCCCCCCCAAGATTATCCCATCCTGGAATCCAGATCAATCTTTTGATTAAGAGAGCTCTCTTCATGGTTTCATTCAGGCTAGGTACTTCTTTCAGCAACTCATTTCAGGAGTCAGCTACTGTCACTCTATGGTATGTTTAGTTTAGTCTTTATAATATATACTGAGTTAAAGAGTTTATGTGTACTTGCCTTTGCTTTGTTGTACTATTGCAGTCTTTAACTCTTTGTTTCATTTGGTTGTTCATTGTGGTGTTGTAGCAAATATGTCATAGAGATCTAAAGCTGGAGAATACACTATTGGACGGAAGCCCAGCACCGCGCTTAAAGATTTGTGATTTCGGCTATTCAAAGGTATATATATGCATGTACGTTACCATATGGGAATATATTTAGATATAAGAGATGTTTGTACTCATTTTCTCTCTTCTCATGCTCCACAAAGTCATCTCTGTTGCATTCGCGCCCAAAATCTACTGTTGGCACTCCAGCATATATTGCTCCGGAGGTCCTATCTCGAAGAGAGTATGATGGCAAGGTAAACCTTTATGCAATGCTTATGTTATGTGTACCTTAACGTGCTTTCCGTGGTTTTCTCTTTCAAATTTGGGAGAAATGTCGCCATCTTGACATCTTGTGGGGCCTCACACCAAACGAATGCAATTTACAGTAATCCCAGTAAATTCCCATAAAAAGTAGGGCAGGCTTTACCCCTACCCAGAAGTAGAGAGGCTGTTAAACAACAGAAGCACAACATACCAAACAAATGAAAAATACAAATAAAACCTCAAATCTTGGAATTAGGCCTTGGAATTCTCATAATACAGAGTATAAAGTTTTGACCTTTTAGGATGAAACCTCAAATCTTAATTAAAAAAAAAAGGCTTGGCTTTTGAAGATGAAACCTCAAATCATAGGAAAAAAAGGTTTGACTTTTGTGTTCTGTCCAGATGGCGGATGTATGGTCTTGTGGAGTGACACTTTATGTGATGTTAGTTGGCGCGTACCCTTTTGAAGACCAGGAAGATCCCAAGAACTTCAGGAAAACTATTCAAGTGAGTTGTACAAGCAGCATGCCACAATTTAGGAACCATTATAAGAAGTTCTTAACACTTCTTTTTCTTTCTTTCTTTCTTTCAGCGTATAATGTCCGTGCAGTACAAGATTCCTGACCACGTCCACATTTCGCAAGATTGCAGGAACCTTCTTTCAAGCATATTTGTTGCCCACCCAATGAAGGTTCGTTCTCCCCCTTCTTCGCTAGCTCTATATTTTACGGAGGAACTAGTTTTGTTTACATCATTCTGATCAAGAGCATTGCGTTCAAAGGGATTCCAATGGATTAATATGTAGTGTTTTTTTGCAGAGGATAAGCATCAAAGACATCAAGTCACATCCATGGTTTTTGAAGAATCTGCCAAGAGAACTAACAGAAGTGGCACAAGCAGCCTATTATAGGACAGAAAACCCAGCCTTTTCGCTGCAAAGCGTGGAGGAGATCATGAAGATTGTGGATGAAGCCAAGACCCCTCCCCGAGTTTCCCGTTCCCTTGGAGCTGGTTTTGGCTGGGAAGGCGAAGAAGACGAGGGGAAAGAAGGAGAAGAAGAAGATGATGACTACGACGAGGATGATGATGATGATGACGATGATGATGAAGATGAATATGATAAGCAAGTGAAGCGTGCGCATGAAAGTGGAGAAGTTCACTTGACTTGATGCCCATTCTCAGGTGCTTGTTGAATTGAATAAGGCTTGTAAATCTCTGGTTTGGTACCCATAGTTGGTTTGAGGGTACTTCTACTTCAAGAAGCATGATCTATGTAGGATTTGGTTTAGAATAGAATTTGACTAATTGTCTTTTAAGATAATAATAATAATACTCCATCCATTTTACTACTAAATTGTGTTTATACTTCAAGTGTCATTAGTTGTTTCAATTGTTTCAATGTAATGCTATTTAAGGATTTAATTGAGCTTCTTTCTTTGATTTAGTAGGAGGCTCACTAATTAAGCTCAAGAGTATTAAAATCAGAAGTTATTATAATCAAGTATTTACCCTTACAAACATCCTAATGAAGTTACTCCGTAATATTTTTTTTTACGCTATAAATTACCAATGAGTAATGTTAGGGGTATACCAGATGGTGAACAACGAACACCATTCGTACACTATTCTTTCTCACCATACATTTTTTATATATTTATTAATTTTTTATATCAATACTTAATAAAAGAATGAGCCCCATTCTCAAGGGTCCCTCAGACTCGGCCGGACGATCACTGAGATGAAGTAAATTAGATTTTAATCACAGATTGGTTGTAAAGAGTGGAGTGTGCACTTGGTACTTGCAGAGACTCTATGTTTAGCGTCGTTGTCTCTCAGCGCAGTTGCCACCAATCGAACTCGAGTCTTACCTCCTTAGTACTTCTTGCCTTGTCGACTGTACAACGCCGACAGGCTTTTTTATTTTGGTGTACCCTATCATTTTTTGAACTAACAATAGCAACCTACTTGGTCCGTCCCTGAGTGTTTGTCCACTTTTGACTTTTGGAACTGTTCATCTAAGCACTTTGACTCATCAAATTCTCTCAATGTGTAAGCCTAAAAATAGTCATGTGTGATCTTGTTTGATTCGTCTTAACATATAGATTATTAATATATAATTTTTATAATTTTTTAATATACAAATAACAAGATAAAATGGATTAAAGAAGTGCATTGGATGATGTGCAAAAATGAGTGGGGACAAACACTCACTCACGGAAATGAAGATGCTTTTACCAGAGAGACGGAGGTTGAAGAAAAGCTATCCTCCGTCCCAACCCTAAAGCGCCGCCGCAGAGATAAGAACAGGGAGGCGCTCCGCCGTAGAACACGTATAAGAACCAGCTCACGTCCCAGACTTTACAGGTATTTCCCCCAAGCGGCGATTTCAAAGATCGCCGCGCCTCCGTTTTAATTATTCGAGCTCACTTTTATAATCAAGACAGGAATTTTGTTGGTTTTGTGCTTTAATCTGTTCTGTAACAGCTGAATTGGGAAACCTAATCGAATTAATTTGTTATTGTAATTGCAATTGTTATTTAATTACTCCCTAGTTTAGCTTTAATTCCAAAGTATTAAACCAAAATCAGATTATATGGCACTTGATTCAATTGGGCACTTTAAGGTGCTCTATTTGATTTTGGAGTAGTTCATACCCCCCCCTCTAATCCCACCCCTAGCCCCCTCCCTACCCCCACACCGCCTCGCGGCCTCGCCACATTTCGGGTGACTATTCAATATTTTCACAGTAGATTGTCCCCGAATCGGCAGCAAATTATATGGTATGGCCGGATGGCAAACTTGTAACTAAAAAAATTTCATAATGAACACTACGACATTTTTAGAGAATGAACATTACGTTGTTTTGAGGATGAACACTACGTTATATCAGAATGAATACTACGTTGTTTCAGAATGAACACTACGTTGTTCGTAAATAATATTATAACTGTAGTTTGTAATGAATAAATATGTGAAAATGAGCACTACGTTTTGATTCAAAATGAATATTTGTTGGGTCACTTGGGTGTACCCAGTACCTAGCTCTAGGTACCTAGCTTTAGTGGTAAGAACTACTCCGGGATTGAACAAAGCGCTCTTGGATGCGTAAATATACCATTATGACGTGTCAATAGAAACATTGCTAGAATATTATTCATACGTTCGAACTATATTATCTTCATTTGTCTATTTTCGTTAAAATAACATATATATTGTGCCATATTCTTTCCGTGCATTGTTCTTATAGTTTTGCCATCTCACATTATTGTTTTGGATTTGCTCTAATCCGGTGTCAAAAACCTCGACAAATATTACCATTTCTATTCTGAATGGCTCTTAGGGTAACACTGGTTTGTTTCTACAAATGCAACATCATGAACCAAGATCAAAATTTTAATGCCCTAGTTCCTCATAACAAATTTGTCTGTTTTTGTATATTGACCATCCCCCCCCCCCAATGTTAAGGCAATGTGCATCTCTAGTGGGACCGTCCATCGGGGTCGAAGAGAACTAGTCCATGCCCAAGAACGTCTACAAGAGCTACAGCGAAGAGAAGTGCAATTGGAGTCCGAAATACAATGCGCGATTGGTAAGATCAAGAAATTGGAATTCATAGCGAGGCTTTGGCGCAGCATTCTAATACTGTTCGTAGCCGTTTCGTTTTACTTGTTCTACCGAATCGTTCTTCTTTGAGAGTTTTCGCTTGTGAATGTAGACACATCAAATTATGTGCTTGAACTTTGTGTACCAATGGAGTACTTTAATCTCAAGTTGTGAGTTCAAAAGTATGGCTCTATTTATTTGTTCAACGGTTTGAGATGGATGAAAACCTATGTGCACTCCTATTTAATTGTTTTTTTTTGTTTCAGACATTAGCGATTTTTAATTTTGGAAAACAATATGTAAACATTATTTGAGAACAAGTTTTTTAATAAATAATTATGAAAAGGGCAAGAGAAGTAAAAGTAAGAGTAAATTTCATTAAATGGTCCCCAATTACGAATGATTTTTTATTTAGTCTCTAATTTTTAGATATTCTATACATGGTTTTCAATTTTGGAAATTCATTTCATAATTAGTTCTTTAGGCCAAATATGAGAGAATACTTTGTCAAATAATAGTCCTTGAAGAACTGATTATGAAATATTTTTCAAAATTTGAGGAATATTTATGGAATATATAAGAATTAGGGACTAAATATGAAAAACCTTCCTCAAAAAATAAACATGTATCTTATGCTATTGGCAGTGAAGACCATGTGAGATGTGACCATGTAGAAACAATGGCAAAATCTCATGAGGTCTCTTTTTCACTTTTTAAGTTTTCATTTTCATTTTTTCAAAAATAAAAAAAAAATTTATTGTTCAAAAACTAAATGAGATTTCTCTTTTTATTCTTAATACTCCGAAGGTATTAAAAAGAAGAATCCTGAGAACTTTCTAAGAAATGTTTTGGTTTTATTTTTCAATTCATTTTTCTTTTATTTTACTCAGTATTTTTTAATGGGAAATTTGTTTTATTTCATTTATTTTTGATATTGTACAAACAATTTGCTAGAAGAAAAATGTAAAAAAATCATTTTAAAAAAGAGAAACAAAAAAGGAAAAATATACTTATAAAATGTGAAGAAAAAAAACACTCCGTAGAAAAACACATTTAAAGTACTGGTAATAAAAGGACCTATTTCAACAAAATCTGGTATTTTTTCTGTTTGTTCATAATTTATCCGTTTTCTCGTGAAAGGTAGAAGAAGAAGAAGCTCGTGTTTTTCTTCACACAAACATCCACCGCCGCGGTCGCAATCGTCGCCGTCGATTCAAGAAAACATGACAAATCTGACGGTGCACAGCGCGCCACCGCCATCTCATCTCTTCACATTCTTCACCTTCTCAAGAAAATGTGATCTTCGCAGTACCCCTTCTTCTCGTTGGCCCTTCGAACTCTTGTGATCCCTTCGTCAAATTCCCCCTTTTTTTTATTTCATTTTTATTTTTGGGTGGTGATTTCTGTATAAAGCCCAAATCTTCACCTTAAAATTTCCCTATTCGCACTTCCCAAAATTGCCCGAGATCCACACTTCGTCTTGTTTGTTGAAGTTAATAACCAATTCCAGGCAAGCTTCTTCTTCTTCTTCAGTTTAATTTATTAATTGTTTGAAATTGATGTTTTGTTTGTATTAGCTGATGAATAGATTCAAAGGCATATGAATTGTGATGATGTTGTTTTGCTGCCCCTTTAATTCATCCAACTGTTAACTTTCTAGGGTTTGAGTGATTGTTTTCTGTTCTGAATTTGTTTGGGGTTTGATCTTGGAGTGGTGAGTTTTTCAGTGAGCTGAAGCTCACAGGGGATGAAAAGTTTAAGCTTTTATGTGATCAGTGATCCCAAGGTGCTGATAAGTGTTAGGGCTTTGATGTTAGGGGATTAAGCTTATTATTATGGATTTTTATGGTGAAAATGGTGTTTACTCATCATGGTTTGAACACTCCATTAACCCTTTCCCACAATATTAAAAAAAAAAGTTTGGTGACATAAGTATGCAGATATGGACTATGAGCATTCATTACTTCCATAGAAAGTCCTCGTGTTGCACCTTTTTTACCGAAACAATCACCCTATTTTTACCCGGGTAAGACTGCATGCAACTTGACATCCCAATCCATAATGGAGTTGGGATTATATTGGGTCGTTGTTCTCCGTCCTTGAACCGTTTTTCTTTTTGGAGAGAGTTTTTAAATATGTCTCCGTGCAACTTGTTTATGCTTGATGGCTAGACTTGTTTAGTGGCACTTGCATACACGCATACCCTTACATCTCTTACAATTTGTTGTATTAGCCATTGATGGATTCAATAATAAGCATTTAATAATTTATTCACATCTAAAGATTTTTGTAGTTAAGGCATGAGGAGAACAATGTGTTACAATGATGTGCCTGAAGTTGTTGGGGAACAATGGCCCATCAAGAAAGCACTGACATTGTCTGACGTGGACATAACACATCCTTTCCTCACATTGTCTCGGCAACAAGTTGAAAACCACATCGTTGTGCATATGGACCCACAACAGCAAGAGATGTTGAGATCCCAAGGCCACGTGGATTTCAATGGTCAAGACGATGACACTGGTGAGGTTTACAGCATGAAGCTGAAGTGGCGAGGGAGTTACTACAATCTTATTGGCAAATGGGGAAAGGTTGTCAGAACCAAAGGACTCGGCGTGGGCCATGAGGTCAAAATTCGTTGGGATAATGGGATCTTGCACTTCTCTGTGCCACTTCAGCATCTTGCTATGATGGTGATGCCTGTCCAAATGGTTGTGCGACCACCACCGCCAGTAGTGGGTAATCCATGGCCTATCAAGAAGGTGCTGACTCTGTCTGATGTTGACATAAACCATCCGTTTCTTCCTTTGCCACGTCAGCAAGTCGGGGATCATATTCTTGCGCACTGGACACCTCAGCAGCAAGAACAGTTGAAGAATGAAGAGCAGGCGGTCGTGAATGCCCGAGACTATGACACTGGAGAAGTCTATCAAATGAAGATAAAACCAAAGGGGAATTCCTATAACTTAGTTGGGAAATGGGGGGCAGTAATTAGACAAAAAGGGCTTGGGGTTGGCGACGAGATTCGGATATGTTGGGCTGATGACTGCTTGTGCTTTTCAGTACCACAGGAGCACTGTTCTGCAACACAAAGTTCAATGGTGGATAATTGGCCGATTAAGAAAGCCCTAACTTTGTCTGACGTGGACACTACCCATCCGTTCCTTACCCTGCCAGGGAAAGCAGTTGAAGATTATATTCTCTTTTACTGGACCCCACAAGACAAGGAGGAACTAAGGAATGCTCGTCAGATGGATGTTAACGGCCAAGATGATGACACTGGAAATTTCTACCTAATGAAGCTGCGATGGCGCGGGAGCTACTATAATCTCATTGGTAAATGGGGGAAAATCATAAGAGCAAAGGGACTCCGGATTGGGATGGAGATTAGGCTGCGTTGGGTCAACAAGTGTTTGCACTTTTCCGTTCCCGAGGTACTTGGTGTGCCACTGAATGTATGATGGCAGGCAAGTTAAGGCCTTGTTTGGGAACATGTTTTCAATCAACGTTAGTATTTTTGATAATTTTCAATGGTACAGATTGACTTTGAAAATGTTGTCAACCCGGCACTAAATATTTGCACTTAGTCTGTCACATGCTTTTAAAACCATCATTGGAAGTTTTTTTCTTTTTCGTTTCTTTTTAGTCATTGAGGTCGTAGGCATTGAATAAGCTTGACGTACCACTTACGCAGGCTGCAAATGAACATGTTCGGGAAAAATACAACAAGGTGATTTGATGGGCCCTATTTGTTTATTCAGGCACATCCGCGAGGAACTTATTTGAGTAATATGATGCCCCCACTGTACAACTGTATAGATGTGTGTAGTGTACCATTGTTTTACTGACAAGGAGAGCCAAGTTGTATAAACATGGTTGTATGAAGACTGTCAAGTAGAGCTGACTGACATTGTACAATTTCTTTTTCTTGCTTATTCAACTTTCATCTTTTGAAACTTAGAGTTATTTTCTACTATTCAATTTATTACTTATGTAGAAACTTGAACTTTTTCAGGCTGTTCTGGTATAGGAGAGGATAACTAGTGTTTCTGTGAAGAACAACAGATATGGCTGAGTTCTAAAGTTCCTTTCTCGTGGAATCCGAGTTCTAAAGGCTTGTTTGGTTGGGAAATGTAATTCCACTTGTTTGGTAGGAGGGAATGGTGAATCTGATGAATAGTTCTTCCCTCCACTTTGTGGGATTATTACATTTTCATGCAGTGGAGGAATACGCTTAGACGGGATTCATGGGAGTGAACGAACCTGTGGGACCCAGACCGAGCCAATGCTGTTGAACTGTATATGGGGAACAAGAAGACTGAAAAGCTACTGTGTTAGTTAAGTTTGTAACAGAGTTCAATATTGAATTGCAATGGAAGGAGAAGCTTCATGTTGAGGTAATTATGTGCCCAAACTTTGTAAAGGACTCCATTTGTAAGGGATTTTAGATGAAATAATAGTGTAATGACTTTAATGCGGTGGTGCATCCCGCTGGGTTAATTAAGGCATGATCGTCGTCTTCCATTTCGGTAATTCCTTGTACGATGAAGAAGATTCATGTCTGCATTTTTTTGGCATGCTATTCTCATTCTATTTTTTATTTGGTAAATTTTAGTGATAGCAGTAGTATGGGTGATATTTGGTGTTTTACCAACATTCGGAGTAGTTTTTTTTCAAAGTGATGAAAAAGATGCATTCTACAATCTCCATCTTGCATAAATTTCAACTTTTTAAATTTTCTTCCTTTTGTTGTCTGTCTAAAAATATTACTTTCCTTTTAAGGAAAAGAATGTGGGTCAAGTATTCAATGCTATTGGACACTTCCTTTTTTTGGTTTATCCCAAGTTTTTCATCCATTTTTAAGTATTTTTTAAGTATTGACACTATTTTTTGTTTATCTTAACACTATGTTTGATTCAAGAAATTTGAAAGGGAAAAGAAAAAAAAAATTAGAAGGAAAACAATTTTTCTTGTTTGGTTAAAGAAGAAAAAAGAAGAAAAGTAGAAATAAAAGAAATGGGAAGACAAATTATACTGGGGGTGGGGGGAACCAAATTCCTAAACTAATAAGAGTAAGATTTCGTTCCGTTCAACTTATTTTTTTATCTAATCTGATTTTTTGTAGTTTTGATCTGATCTGATATTATTAGATCTGATCTGATCTGGTCTGATCTGATTGGATCTGATCTGATCTTGTCTGATCTTATTGGATCTGATTGGATTTGATTAATTATGATTTGATTTAAAATTCAAATCAATAATTTGATTTGACTTTATAATAACATTTGAAAATTGTAATGATAATTCATATTATAATATAATCAATACTTTTATTTTATGATTATTTTTAATGAAATAAAATTAGTTAATTCATATATTAAAAATTTATAATAATCATTCATATTATAATGTAATAATATTTTTTATTTTATGATTATTTTTTTATGAAATAAAAATATTGATTTAATATTCACGATATAATTTTTTTAGGGGATAAATCACGATATAATTTTAGTCTAGCCTATCAAGAAGTTGTCAATCACGTTAAACAAAACTCTCACTGCCACTAACAGAAATTGATCCCGAGATCTCAAACTTAACACTCCTCCAAGACCATCCAAGCTACTAGCAGAAAATGCCTTATACTCTATTAAAATGTGCATTCTTTAAATAGAAAATGATAAAATAAAGAATATATGTGCATTCTCTAAAAAGAAAATGATCAAAGATAAAGAAATGAGCATTCTTCAGAAGAAAAGTGAAAAATCATAAAAACATTAAGGATGTGTTTCGTGAGCAAACAAGATATGAGTTTTGATATCACTAGATACCAGAATCTTTTTTTAATATTTGGTGAAATAAAAAGGCATCGAATTTGAGATCTCCAGTTATCATAAATCCTTTAAATGAAGGATTTCGAAATCTCTCGAAATTGAGAAAAATCAATATGAAAGTTTGATATCTCTCTCAACCGTTGATCATTCTCCACCACCGGCTACCATTGTCACTGCCAACCACCTTCTTTGTCGGTCACCCCCACTTATCACTAATTAAATTATAATTTTAAACCTCTCCAAACAATTTCGTTTCGAATTTTAAAACTCATATCATTTCTCCCATATTTCATACGGAGTAACTCTTATCTTATCATATCTACAAAACTCACAAAACGTACCCTAAAAGAAATCATCAAATGTATAATACTCCAGAAAATTACTCGCGGGTGACGCGAGTTTTGTTGAAATAACTCTCAGGTCCCTCTATTTTCAAGAAGACAGCAGAGGTCCTTACATTTTGTTGTAATGACTGGAAGGGGACATTTCATCCAATATTTCATCTATAAACATTAATAAATGTATTTTTTTCCTATTTTTCCAATACCGTTTTTTCCTATTTTGCCATTACCTTGTTTTTTCTTTTTTTAAAATTTTTTTAATTTCATTTTTTTTAATATAATACAAATAATTTTGAATTTTTATACGATTTAATAGAAGAAATTCTAAAATAACACTTTAAAAAATAATAACAAAATGAAAGAAAAACAAAGAAATAAAAAAGGAGCGACCTAAGATTTATCACCTTAAAACATTTAGAAAAGAATATGAAAAAATACATTTATTAACGTTTATAGATGAAATATTGGATGAAATGTCCTCTTTCAGTCATTACAATAAAATGTAAGGACCTCTGCTGTCTTCTTGAAAATATAGGGACCTGAGAGTTATTTCAACAAAACTCGCGTCACCCGTGAGTAATTTTCTGTATAATACTCCATTGCAAATTAATTTACTCCCAGTCTTTAGAGAAATTTAAAAAAAAAACGGCCCGGTTCCAGTGCCACTGGCATTTTGGGGCACCTCCGGTGCTCCGTTCGCAAAATTGACGATTCCTACCCCCCCTAACCCACCTCCTAAACCCCCCACCCTACCCCCGCCCCTGCACACCCACCCCAACCCCGCCGTAAGCCCCCCACAAAATGTGTGGCTTTTATGCAACGCATAATAGCCACACATTTTGTGGGGGGCTTACGACGGGGTTGGGGTGGGGGTGCAGGGGCGGGGGTAGGGTGGGGGGTTTAGGGGGTGGGTTAGTGGGGGTAAGAACCGTCAATTTTGCGAACGGAGCACCAGAGGTGCCCCAAAATGCCAGTGGCACCGCTAGTGGCACCGGATTCCAGTGGCACTGGAACCCCACCCTAAAAAAATTGAACAATGAAAATTGTATACTTAAAACTTGTTTAAGAAGAGAGAAATATTTTGCACTACATATTCTTTTCTAAGAAGGGAAAGAGAAAAATGTGATAACATTATTTTGGGACAGATGAAAAAGGAAAGTGGAAAAATGTTGTGGGACCGAGGGTGTATAATTTGCATTGTCATCATATGTGGCATTGGAGAAATGTATAAAAATAATGATAGCATGCCAACTGATTCTCCAATTTTCCAGCATGTTTAACAAGTTCTGGGTTGGGCAGAACACTGGAAACAATTATAGTTACTGGTATTCGTTTTGGTAAAAGCCATGGGGGTTGTTCATTCAATCATACCTTCCTTGGCTTCTCATACATTTGAATGATTGGTTGAGAGCATCAAGAATGCCGACGTCGCTTAACATTGTCCTCATTATATGATTCCCAATCCTTGTGGTTGAGGCCACTCAAGTCGTCTAGATCAGCAATGGCTAGCAGATACTGGGTAAGGTTCATGAGTTCCTGATCAGTGCTTCGGCTCGCGTGTGCCTTCTTGAATGGCTTTATGGTCAGCCCATTTTGTGGATTCATCACAAAGTTCCTCCTCAAGTCGTCGAACATAATAGTGTTTTTCGGGCCATAAAACTGCAGGTCAGGAAAAAAAAGAGAGAGACACATTGTTATGTCGGGGTTTACAAGGCACGGAGTTAGAGTAACTAATCAATTGGATTCAATCGCCTCTTAGTGTGGTGTGGTTTGATCAATGTGCATTGTGATGTAGGCCTTGTTTGGCAACCAGCGGTTAACTTTTTGCGCGTTGTTTCTGAAAATAGTGTTTTATGTTATAAAAAAAAACTATTGACCAAAAAAGCTGAGCTTTTTTTTGTAATTTTAAAACCAGGCCAAAACCTCTCCTGAAACGATGTCTGCCAACCACTTAATTAAAATAGTAGTATGACCAACATCAAACCCATTTGGCCCAAAAGATTCTTTTTTTCACAAAAAGCACCCCAAAAGCTTGTTTCCAGTTTTCCAAACACCCCACAATATGGCGACCTGGCCCAAGTATGAACTCTATCAATTATGTTTCCAACCTCCGGTAGAAATGTGAGTGTTGCTTTCAAGTCATCATCTTTTGGGAGTTAATATTGAGTACGATAGGAAGAATGAAGAGATGAAGGAGTTTTAGCGAACCTCTGGGAATTTGCCCCAAATTAGGCCAAGTGGCTTGCAGTCAATGATCCCACGAGTGTCCGAGTGGACTGTTATCATTGCTAGATGATCAAGCATTGCAGTAATTTTATAGTTAGGATTGCTGAGAACACCAAGTTGATCCATTTTCAATTCAACCCATTTCATGCTGCAGACAGAAGATGTGCACGATGAGCCATACAGGCAAACTTTCATGAGTAAGGAGACATAGAAAAGGACGTAGTTGACACCGTCAAATGACACCTTTGTCAAATTCACTGTATCCCATGAACTTTTTCTTAATCTTTCACTATAAACTGCTCAATTATCTGTTGGGATTGATCTAATTCCCCATTTGACAAGACGTGAAATTTGGAATTGGCCCAAATTCATATCATGTATTCACACGGTGCTCAGGTTAAATTTGAATTTTTTTAATGACTTCAAAAAACAAAGGACTTGCAAGTTTAGAATTCTTAAGGTTTGCAAAAAAGGATTTCAATTGCAATTCTAGGATTGTGAATTCTAAATGGACAAACAATTGTAATTCTAATTACATGACTTTAAAATCTAGTATTAAAGATATGTCTTTCATATAAACTCCACTTTCCAGATGCAGCCTGGTTGATATTTTATTTTATTTATATTAATAGTCCTGCCTCATTTATGGAGTACTACTTATTAGTCACCCCACTCTATGTTGAGTACAGTCCAGCCTATATGTAGATTTTTGTCATATGTGAGCTCATTTAAGCAAACCAAACAATGTAACATGGTCAAAATGACCAGGGATATGGAATTCTGACCTAGTTGCAGACCATATGATGATATCATACTCAGCATAAACAGCAGAGAGAAACTCATGAAGATCTGTATTTGTATGACAATGGTTACCATCATCAAGATTCAAGATGAGTCATAGGTGTCATAAAGCACGCCTAAATACAATAAAAAATGCTTACAAGGTCTCATGAGCTCAAGTGGGTTCTCTGCTGTTGATCGGTGATCAAATAAAGTGTAGTCGATATCAAGAACAAGCAGCTTTTTCCCTTCCCGACATGGATTGCGAAGCTTAATCTAAAATTGTTTCTCCACATCAGGCATGTTAGATGCATACATGAACTTTTAAAAACATAGATGCTGCAAGAAATTACTTGTAAAGACCTTAAATAAAACACTATGCACAAATGCAGTCTTGAGATTATGTCTAGCTCCATGAAACTACCAAATCTTTCATTATAAGTTAGTAATCATTACAATTTGAATTTTCATCTCAAAACATAGACCTGTAGGAGCAAAGCAAGGTTTTATATCTGGGTTAGGATGTTTGCATTTCTCCTATAAGTGATGACTTAACAATATGTGCATTTCCTCTCGTCTTAGATAACAACAACAACAACCCAGTAGAATCCCACGAAAATAGGGTCTGGAGAGGGTGTGTGTAGGTAAACCTTATCCCTACTCGGAAGTAGAGAGGCTGTTTCCAAGAGACCCCAGCTTGAGTAACACAAAAGCACAAAGCAAGCAGAAAGAAACATAAAGTAGGCAATATGTGCATTTCCTCTCACCTTAGAATAAGAAGTAAATCAAGTAATGTAAAATATATAAAGAATATGAATTAATTGGACTTGTTTAGCAGTTTTTCATCCACATGAATCATGTTTGACTTGTAGACACCTAATAACTTCTTGATAGATACAAAGGATAACATCATAACACAGGTATAAATGCTCCCCCCTATTTAAACTTCACACTTTTTGTCATGTGTCCCAAAATAAATGTTCATTTCCTTCGGAGGAGCACTGGAAAAGGATATGTGGCCCGCAACATCTCTGTCTCTTCAAAACAAATTTCAACTACACATTTTTTATTTTTCACTTTCAATGCTTATCTTAAACATCATGCACGGTGAACCGAGTCAGTAAAATAGGGACGTGTGGAGTAAAAAGAACTAGAGATCACCTTCATAGTAAAAAGGTGCCACTGACCTTGTAGTTTTCAATACGCCTTCTCAGTTTCTGTTTGTTGACTTCTTTATCTTTAATATCAACAGCTTCCTCCTGTCCTATTTCAAAATCGTCGACTATATCTGCAGAGTCCGCTTGATCCACAAATATTTCATCTTCAAGGGTACTGCAAATCAAACAAAATACTATGCCCTAGTTAGTGACCACGGAAAATTTATGCCATGAGATATGATAAGTGATACTAGTCCCTACATGCATTTCATAAAAGGTTAGTGTGTGAGTCTACATAGAAATACTAAAGATAAACATATACGTTTATAACTACGCCATATAAGACATTATGTGACTCTAGTTAATTGATTTGATTTAACCTTTTAAAGGGTGGCTTCACCCATATGCACTATGACTCTGATCCAATTGTGAATGGCATGACTGACACTGAAAAGTCTAGAAAACCCAAGTTGAAATCCTAGTTTGGATAAATAAGGGGAGCTAAATAAACTTCAAGCTTTGACTTTGACCTACAACTTTCAGTAAATTATACTCTATCCATTCAAAATTTGTTGTGCACTTCCAGAATAACTCAAATTTAAGGAAAAAATGTAAAAATTAAATCTTGAAATTAGATTGTCCTTCAATGATGATAACAAAACTAACTTCAATTAGATTGTTAGTTAAACTTCTGGTTAGGTTATCGTTTCTTTACAATCATAATTCTAATAAACATTAATTTATGTTGAGCTCTACATTATTCAGAAATAAATAGTAAAATCCATTACATAATAAACAGTAATATTTCAATAGAGAGATGTATATACCCGATCATTGTCATTTTGATGGAGGCCTTGATTGGAATTTGAGAGAGAAGAAGGGAATCGTCGGAGAGTTTGGATCCGACTTTGGGGTAGAGAAGCTTCTGGCGCTTTGGCAGCACGTTTGTGGCTTCACAAATCCGTCGCTTCAGCTCGCTGACGGTGTCGCTGCCGCAGACGGCGACGGTATACTCTTTGCCGCTCCACTTCACCGTCAGGCTGACCTCCTCCTCCGTCACCGGAGACATCGCCGTCTCCATGGAGGATGACGATGCTTCCGCCGCCATTAGTGATAAGTGAAGTACCGTAAAAAAAAGTGATAAGTGAAGTCGCAATGGCCGATGAAGGAGAGTGGTGGAGTTTGATGAAGCTCTAATAGCATGTGCAAGACAAAAAAAATTGCCACACGATGACAAGTAACTTTTCAACCAATCAGAAATAGTCCAGTCAGCGTGTGGCATGGAAGAGGAGTGACATTCCATGCAATGGCAAGTTAATGTTTTATCACTTTTTATACTTTTTTTTGATATATTTTAATTATAAAAAATATTTTTATTTATCTTTTTTTTATAAAAATAGATGTACTTTTTATAAAAAAATCTTCTTTATTGTACAAAAAAGAAAGAAATAAAAACAAATTTAAAAAAAAAAGAAATTGGGAAAGGAGTGCCTTGCTCATGACTCTCAAACCATGGAAGAATGGGGATGCCATGCAAGGCATTAGGAGAAATTGGGGTGATGTGGCAGGGCGTGGGAGGCAATGCCTCGCCACTGCCTTTGCTCTAAAACCACCTCTCCCATTACGCAAATTTTTTTAGAATAAATACTTTTTACCCAAAAAATTCTTTCCCAAAAATTATTACTTGTAAAATTTGTTCTCAACGAGACTAAAACATAATGACTTTCCCAATGTATGATTTAAACTTTTTTATTCCCTAAATAGGACTTATTAATGATCTAGTGGGAGAAATAATATCCAGTAATGATGGACATTTACTTGAATAATGACTACTTGATAATGACCAAAAGTCCTACATTGGGAAATAAAACATATGGTCCTATATTGGGAAAGTCATTATGTTTTAGTCCTATTTAGGTAAATTTCTCCCTCTGAGAAAATCCAAAGGGAAGGTTGTGCACCAAGAGGGTACAACGAGTCGGGTGGCCAAGCAATCGTAGACGTCGACGGAAGAGGAAGCGTTGGTCCAGACGTGAGTGAACATTTGCGAAGACCTCTCTGGAGGTTTAATTTTTTGAATTTTATCCAAAGTAATTTGACTTACTATTTGTGTACAATATTTTCTCAATTTTTTTTCAATTAGGAACTACTCAAAATGCAAACGAAATTTGGAGTAGGGTCACTACTCAATTCCACATAGTCACGAACTGATGAATGTAGAGTCCTACCACCACGTCGACGCCATCTTTTCCGAATTTTGCGACTTGAATGCAAAAGTCAACAAGTTTTTCGTATATACACCACCACCACACTCACTCGACGGAGCTGGACAGGTGACGATGACGTTTTAAAACCTGCATTGTCAAAGTATCATGTGCAATATAATGGTCTTTTCACATTTAAAAGTGTGAGATATATTTACTGGGCACCCGAATGGGCTTCGGTGCCAAACGGACAAAGACGTCAGAGTCTAGGAAATATAGTAGCCTCGTAGCGTCTGGCGCTCGTTGGACATCTACAGTGTCGAGTGACGACGACAATATTCCAATCCCTTTGGAGCTGACAAACCCCGTCGAGAAATTTAAGGCGAAAGGGCATTATTGTTGACCATGCCCGCACTTAAAGGGTCAACTATCAACAACCTCGTATCCATCGTGGCCGCCTTCTACCAAGTGCAGTCGAACAAGATTGACTAAAACAAAATGCCTCTAATGAGGCACTATGATTTGAGTGCAGATGCAACGAGCAAACAGACTACGAGATTTCGATGTCGAGTGTTGATCATTTGTTACATCTAGAACTCACATCTGTTCTAAACATAACATACAAAATTTAGCCAGACGTGGCCTGGAAGTGTGGTGATAACTTAGGCGGTAACATTTTATTTTATTAATCAAGTTGTTGTATTTTAAATCCGGAGCTTGTATTTTTTGTCATCTATCACTCTTTTTCTTTTATTTTTTTAATGTGGTTTTAAAATTAATATTAATGAGAATTTCATTTTATGTTTTAAGTTTAAACAATTTAAATTAAAATAGTTTTAAAGAAGAAAAAAGGAATGAGCATGATGGGCGTGTATCCACACCATATACAAAAATGGGAAGTGATAGAAAAGAGACTAAATGACGTGGTACTGAATGACAAGAAGGGATTGCATGATGGACGTGATTCACAATCTTTAGTCTTAATGAATTGTTATTTTTTTAATATGCTAGGATGAGTGGATGCCAACTTGATTTATATTATGAGTCGGGTCAGCTAGGTAAGTTAAGATGCTAGAGAGCATCAATTTTGCAAAGGAGCACCTTAGATGTTCCATTATATCCGCTAACACGTGAAATGAGTGCCAACTACAAGTGTGTCCCATCTCTGTCATTTCCAACGGGTTATGCTAGTAAAACACGACATTTTCACCCATGATTGACCATAGCTTTGTACAGACATGCAAAAACAATAAATTGTGCCATGCATATAATATTATCTTTGCGTGTCTTTCCAAAGCTTGAAGTCAAGTATGAAATTGAAAATATAAGATAACACTAACTTTTTTTTTGAATAACGATTAATGGGAGATAGACGGACGGCCCAGGTTGGTATACTTTAAATTGGGCTGGTTAAAACTCCAGCCCACATTTTTTTGTATAACGATTAATGAGAGATAGACGGACGGCCCGGGCTGGTATACTTTAAATTGGGCTGGTTAAAACTCCAGCCCGCATTCCGGCTCAGCCCAAAAATCTAGCCTAGTTCTTCGTCTCTTACACACAAGTGACACACCTAGCTCTTCTTCTTCTCCAGCCTCCAATTCGCCGTTTTTCCCTTCGCCGGCGAGCTGCGCACCAGGTATTTCTGCTCTTTAACTTCTGACCTTATTCGATATTCTCAAACAGAGATAAATTGACGTCTGTAGGTAGAAGATGGCCGAGAATCGAATTCCGAAACACTAGTACACAGTTTTCTGTGGCTGTTCCACATTATACTCCGTATAAGACTTTTGCGCCTTTGAACTTTGAAAACCTTGGCGGCTTGAGCACAAAAACATATAACATCAAACTTTGCCAAACATGACCTAGATTTAACGAAAATTGGGTTTTTTGTTCAAATATGACTCGTTTTAGGACAGATAAGACTTCAAATACTACTCATTGTTTGATAAGAAGGGAGTATATTTTTATGTATTCAGGCTCGTTCAGCTTTATAATTATTGTATTTAAAAAATGTTTTTTTTCCAGTTTTCTTCATTGTATTTTTACTTATTTGCTTCCAGGATCTTTCCTTAGGTGTAATGTGATTAGTTAATTGTATAAGTTTAGTTTTGATTGTATTTGTACTCAATTTTCTGATTACTTCTACCAAAATGTAAAGTTAATGCATAAGATTTTGTGATTTTTTTCAGGTTCTATTGATTACGCACCATGGCAAAAAGTGGCAGTGCTTTACAAGACACATCTAAAGACCCACCTACTGAGGTTAAACACGAGTTGAAAATTTTGATGCTTAAATTTTGTCCCATGTTTACAAAATGGGGTTGTCTGTCAATCTGCCATGCAAAAGGAAATCATCTTTTGCTGAGGGTTTCCAAAACTTGTAGAGTTTGGTGACGCAGAACTTTATGTTTTGATTTGGAACTTGAAGGCATGAACCCTCTGGCACCAGGGACCCCTTTGTGCATCATTGGCCCTTTTTAATAGCACTGTGTTTGGCGAACTTATTAAACATAGTACTTTACTCCCCCGTTCTCTTATAACTGTCCATTATGACTTTCTCCACGCATGAAAAATTGAATAAGGTCATACACCGGTGGGAGTGTGTTAATCTTTATATTGTTAGTAACTGATCGAAGTTCATATTTTTGTTGCAGGATGTTTCTGTCTCAAGTGATGGTGGAAGTGAATCAAGTGATGATTTCCATCCAGAAGTTGATGAGAGTTACTCATCTGAAAATGAGGTGTGATTTTAATTCCATTTTTAGAAATGCCCATCTGCATGTTGGTCAGGATTTTTGGGACCCCTTCGCGCCTCAGTGCTCCTTTAATAACACCGTGTTTGTTAGCTTATCATATACGTAGTATATAGAACCTTATGTGCTTTCTTCTACATTCTCTATACTGTTAGTTATCCAGAGGGACTATGTGCTTTCTTCTACATTTTTTTCACTGTAGGTAATTGAGTTCCTACTTTTGTTGCAGGATAGTCTTGCCTCAAGCAATGACGATGATACCTCTAGTGAGGACAATTTAACTAGTATTGTGAGTCACAGTGAAGAGAATGATGGTGGAAATGATGACTCCCATCTAGAAGTTGAGGAAAGCGGCTCATCTGAAGATGAGGTGTGTTTGTATTCCTATTCTTTTAAGAAATGTGCATCTGTCTGTGTGCCGGGACCAAGGGACTCATTTCAATCCTTTGTGCCTCTGCGCTTCTTTCATAACACTGCATTTGTTAACTTGTTTTATATAGAACCTTATGTGTTTTCTTCTGCATTCTTTTTACTGCTAGTTATTCATTAGAATTCATATTTCTGTTTCAGGGTGGTTTTGACTCAAGTAATAAATCTAATAATGGTAACGATACCTCTAATAAGAATAATGTAACTGGTGCTATGAGTCATAGTAAAGAGGATGATGGAGGAAGCGATGACTCCCATCCAGAAGTTGAGGAGAGTGACTCGTCTGAAGATGAGGTGCGTTTTTTACTTTTTTAATTTTTTTTAAGGAAATGCCTATCTGCCTGTGGGTATTTCTAGAAGCTTTTTTTATGAAGGGTGAAAGCAAGTTGCAGCATGGATTTCATTAATTTTTGGGGGGAAATCACTAATTCAATTTCTCATGATAGTTTTCTATGGAAGTAGAAAACACTAATGATGACAGGATTTTGAATTTTATCTCACCAATCCATCTTCAGAAGGTTGGTTGCAGCAAGGGCATCTATCTTAAAACGTTGCCACTGATTTTTGCATGAATATTTTTATATTTTTAACTAATTCTTTATAATTAGTTGTCACTATTAATTTATGCCACCAACAATAGTGTAGTTGAGATTAAAGGATGGCGGTGGTGATGATCACTTAATTAAGAAAAGACTCATTCATTTCTTTTATTCAAAGTAAAGATACAAGCCTTTGGGTTCAATCTTAAGCATGTATGGTTCAATTTTTGTTTAATACTCCGTAAGAAAATAGGATGCACTGCCAATAGCTAAAAAAACGTTTCAATTAGTTGTTACGGAGTATATTTTATTCACCAGATCATTACCAATGCGATAAACTTATTGGCCTTATTTAAGCTCACAGTTTTATCCATATTTTTTTCCAATCAGGTTGCTCCTCGCAATACTGTGGGAGATGTTCCATTGAAGTGG